ACAAAGCATTCGATTTAATTGACAATAGTTTGAGATTCGAGATCGATTTTAAGTGGTCGTTAATGCAGCGCACGGCAGTGCGCGCGAGTGACGAAAGCAGCCACAGTAGCATGCTAAAATGGCTCGCTTATATATATACGAGATTTGGAAGTTTTTATCCAGACGTCCAATCGACAGGTTTAAGGTATCGTTGGAAAGGATGTGTGTGTCCATAAAATATATTCAAATTTCATAAAAGATGATCCAAATTCTTAAAAATTAGGCTAAAGCGTTGCGAAACAAAAAACTTTTTATTGCTGCTGCCGGTTTAAGGGGGTATGAGGGTACACCCCTCATACTTAGGGCCGGTTGTTCAATGTCTGGTTATCGCTACCACTACACTATCGACGATTTCGAGATCATGCATGTAACATGTGATCGATAAAGCAGTCGTTGTACTTAACCGGAGCTTCTACCTCCGATTTGTGCTAATCAGACATTGAACAACCGGCCCTTAGTGTTATTCTATAGGTCAATACCTTTTCAACGATACCTTCAGGCTACTAGTTGGAAAGATATAGAGCTAAATTGATTTGGGTTCGTGTCTCCACTACGAGATGCTGTGCGATGTGTGTAGCGTCTGCACGTATCTTCATTTAATTTTTTCCAAACTTTCAGGTATTAAAGTACCAACAAAATAAGAAGGTTTTGTTCCAGGATGTTTCGATTCGTATGCCTTTGCGGGCGAGGCTGGTGCCAGAAATTCCAAAAAAGGTAGATTTTTAAACTACCACAGGGGCCGTAGTCATTTCATACCATTCATGTGGATATCAGTAGAAGGGGCTTGAAACAAGCTATCTAAAGCTGTCTTTTGCGTTTATGAGATATAAATATGTCACAACGTTATCGCCTAAAAACTAAAAATCGGGCCGCTGAAAATTTCGAACGAAAATTTTCTCAAAAACTGGTCAGTCGATTTTATTCAAAGTTTCTTCAAGTCTAGCCCAAAACTTTATCTTTCATTTGGTGTATAGTTTATATCTGGGAAACTCTTGTTGTGGAGATATTACGATTCAAATCGAAAAAATGTGGCTCCAAATAGCGGAAAATGGTTAAAATTTAACATATTCGTCTAATTTAGTTACTTTAAGTTATAAACGTAACATACCCAATTTGCCGCAAAAAACTGTCCATTCACCGATGCCACCTAAACATAAACTCCCTGCAAATCGGGGGAATTTCCCGCGAGTTGACTTCCCTGCGCGCGATACATAATTAAATAAATAAGGAATCTTTTTAAATTGCTGATTTGTTTGTTTTCTTGTACATATATAAGTATTTCCTACATTTGTATATACATATGTCCTTATGTATGAATGTATTTATTTCGCCTTATGTGCCATTAGTAGTTATGTATAAATTGCCACTGAGCAAAAACGCATCAGTAAAAAAGGCGAGTGCAGCACCGTACACGTGTTAGAAGTGAAACTTCTTAAAAAAACATATATGTTTCAAAGGAATTGAATTCAATGTTAAACCATCTTTGCGAGTAATGCTCCAGTTGCGCAAGCTACACGGGATCTTAATCTCATTGCTAACTCGGTAGCTCTTGACTTCTNGTTTTTATCACTTTTCACATTTAATTTTTTTCAAATTTTTTCTTCGGATATGAAGGATTTCTCATTCTTTGTCGCTTAATGGCCTTATTAATAAAAAATTAAGTAGCTTTAAAAAAGGTTTATAGACTGAAAATGTATGAAAACGTCTCTTTGTAAAACTCTTTAAACCTACTTTATTTTTTATGAATAAAGCCATTATTCTGTATTCGAAAAATTAAATGTTTCAATGGAATTGAATTCAATGTTGAATACTTGAATAAATCATTTAGATTTAGATAGCGTTTTTAGCAATTTATTTGAGAAAAAGAAAACATTTATATTTTTGTTTTGATTTTCGTTATTATTGAATTTGCTATCCCAAAATAATTGATATCAAATAAAACACCTCTTTGAGGTAAAATTTTCGATTGACGAAAGCTGAACTAGAAACACAAAATTTTTGATATCATCATCATAAACATAAACGCATAAATAAAACTATTTTCCGTCAGTTTCCAGGGCAGTTAAAAAAATTAGTATAATTTTCGTCCCAAAAGTGATATAAATTTTATGTTCCTAGTTCAGCTTTCGTCACTCGAAAATTTTACCTCAAAGAGGAGTTTTATTTGATATACTTTACTCTAAACAACTCCCATATATGAGCCATTCTCTTTAGGTCCGACGGATTTCGTAAAAAAATTATGTCATGTCTACGACTCGCTTCAATTTTTTTTATGGGTTCTGTGCATGAAATAAGGTAACGTGTTCGAGGAATTTTTTTTACACTTTTTTTCTTCGGAGATATGATCTGTCAAAGTTTGCATTTTTTCGTGATTCTGACTAATCATGTACTTCTTCAAATCGTTAGATCTCGGGTTCTGCTCATCGTAGAGACTTCATCTTAACGTCGTTTCAAAGCTAAAAAAACGGGCTTAACATTTTTATAAGATGGTCAAGGTTATCCTAAAGCTAACTTAGCGAATAACA